TTTGGTAATTCTCCTTGTCTCACTGAATTTTGGAATATTAATAACAAAGGAGAACATTGTGTGTGTGATGTGTGAGAGAGAGAGAGAAATTGTGTTTGTATGTTTATATGGCCAAGTGTATGATTCTGAGTGTTCGCATGTGCATATATACAGTAAATGGATTTAAGTTATGGGTAAATTTTACGAAGTCATATATAGTCCCAGCGTTTTGTAATATTCTTATTCCTTAAGAAATTAGAGATTTGCTTGCTTGTAACATTCATTTTAATTGCAAAATGATTAGTAAATGTGCAGTGATAATAATACAATGCATAATTTTACAAACTCACAAATCCATGTATAAAAGTATACATGCATGCCTAGACATGTGCACATATAAGTACTAATGCACATGCACACACACACTGTACACACAGGTAAATGCATACACACATACACATACATAGACATACCATACACATATGCACATACCACACACTCATATGCATACCATACACACATACAGAAAGCATATACACATATGCATACCCCTTTCCCCACAAACACATGCTACACTCAGTCAGCTATTCATTCACTCATTGTTTAAAGAATTGTTATTTTTTAACTGTTTCCAGAAGATGCAGCTGAGTCCCCTGTTCATGAGTTGGAGGTAGCTGCCTCACCAGAAAATGTGCGGGAGAGCATTGAGCAGAAGTTTCTTTTGGATATGCCAGATGATTTCTTTGATTTGTGGGACCTTTGCAAGACACTTAACAAAGAAAAACCTGAAGGTAAGAGAAAACAAATTTTTGAACTGCCCCAAAAGTCAGACATAGTTCAAAATATGGAGCTGGAATGTTTGTAGGAAACAAGCTCTTATATGTACTTGAAAGGGTCAGTATATGTGAGATTTGAGATTGCATATTAGAGGCATAGTTATATTGAATTTAACAAATCAAATTTGATGACCCGCAGAAGCATTCATCAAAGCTGGTATCACCCTGGTTGGCCCATATGACATCCTCTCAGGCAAGCTGAAAAACCTTAAGACCAGAAAAATATCAAGTTATGTTTGTCACTGGCGGTATTATTATGATCCGCCAGAGTTCATGGTAAGTAACCACAAGGGTTCTTGGGAATCTGGAATAGAAGTGAGGGTAATTAGCATTTTTTGATGCCATATTGATATGTAATATACTCACATTTTCTCCCCTTTACCTAACCTGTTTCTATCGACTTCATTTCTGCTTTATTTTCTCTCTGACACACATTACTCATATATTTCACATACCTTGCACATATGTTATTTAGCTTTTCTTTTACAATTTTCACCACTTTAATCATTAGGGTCTCCCAAAATTTTGCTGAGATTTTGTCATTTTCCAGACTGTGATAGCAGGAAGCGAAGACGAATATCACATAGGATATTATCGAGATGATTGCTTCCTCTTACCAGCTTTTGTTGGTTCAATGTCCTCTGTCAAGCCTGGCAGTATTACCCTAATGGGAGGGAACATATTTAGTGCTGTCAGGTAACTCACCTTGAAGTATTTTATCTGCATATTTTGGGGAGAAGTTTTTTTTTTTTTTTTTTTTTTTTTTTTTTTTTTTTTTTTTTTTTTTTTTTTTTTTTGAGAAATTGGAAAACATGTTATGTGTACATACATGCAAATGCATCCAATGTTCCAAAAATGTGCACACAACCAGAACCAGACACATACAACCACACATACTTCATATGCACATGTGTACAGGTGCAAATGCACACATGCGCACACAACACACACAACTCGCACACACACACACTCGCACACACAACACACACACACACACACACACACACACACACACACACACACACACACTCACTCACTCACTCACTCACTCACTCACACTCACGTCACACACACACACACACACACTCACTCACACTCACACACACACACGCACACACACACACACACACACACACACACACACACACACACATACATTACACACACACACACACACACACACACACACACACACACACACACACACACACACACACACACACCACACACACACAACACACACACACACACACACACGCACACACACACACACACACACACATACACACACACACACACACACACACACACACATACATGCACACACAGCATGCACACACACACACATGCACACACACACACAGCACACGCACACACACACACGCACACGCACAGCACACAACACACACACACAGCGCGCACACACACACAACGCACACACACACAACACACATACGCGCGCACACAATATACACACACGCACACACAGCAAGCATGCACGCACAGCACATACACACACAGCAGCACACACACACACACACACGAACACATACACACACAGCAAGCACACACAACACACACACACACACACACACAACACACACACACACACACACACACACACACACACACACACACACACACACAATCCCTCCCTCCCTCCCTCCCTCTCTCCCCCCTCCCTTTCTTATTATCTCTTTTTCTCTAGGGCCCCTCTCGTCTTCTTTTTCGCCCTTCCACCTCTGACCAGGCCTTCATCCTATACTCTGTTCTTATGTTTTTCTTTCTTTACCCAGTATTCCCTCTTTTGTTTGTATTTCTTCTCTGAATCATTAATATCTTCTCAAATTTGTATCATTATACTTCTTTTATTCAAATTTACCATGGTAATTAGATACCCCTTCTAAATATAATATATGCATATACAAATAAATGATGGTTCATTTGCATAGATGTAGAATAATTACTTCTGTCTGGATTTTTTTTTTTTTTTTTTTTTTTTCCCCAAAAAAGTGATTTTTGTGTATGGTAGTGTATATTTATGTTCTTTACATTTTTTATCCAGAATAAAGTAATGATGATTTGCATATAATGTTTGCTGTATTTTATCTTTATGATTGTTTAATCATAAAGACCATCTTTTATTAAAGCATAAATATAATGCAAGATTTAAACACTTCCAGCATATATCTGTCACAGAGGATGAAGGCTGAGAATCCTTTCAAGAAAATAACTCTGCAAAGATTGCAACAAGAAGTGGATAACTTTGCAAAGCTAAAGAAGCATTCACTGGAGCAGAGACCATCTTCTGTGCAAGAACGTTCTAAAAAGGTGGTCAGTAAGTGTTTCCATGGAGCAGGCATTGTGGTCCCAGTGCACAATGATGTTGGCTACAGGCCCATCCCAGAAACGAATGGTAAGTTAAATCTCAGAAATAGTCAACTAAGCCATTACTCCTTTATTTTTTCATGGATGCATTGTTACTTATTTGGTTGAGTAAAGTATGGATTCTGTTCTAAGCAACTGAAGGGGAAGATTTAAAGGTTCTATTTATTGTCTTCCCCAGATAAAGTGATTTTTTAATGTTCCATTTATTGTTGTTTCTAATTGCAGCTCCTTTCATATATTCAGATCTTAATTTTCTATTGTAGATAATTATTTGCTCTTTAGTTTGTATGTGCACAGGTTTGCTTTGCAATGCTTATTTACAATCATTGATTCCTCCAATCTCTCCAATTTCTCATTTTACCACACCTCTGTACCCTCTCCCTCTCTCCTCTTTCTCTTCCTTAATATTTGTTGAAATTGTTATTCTCTTCAACTACAGCCTGCTTGAAAAAGATATTCCAGAAAGTAGTGGATGCCAAATCAGAAGAAGAAAGATTAAAACACTTTGATGCAGTTCAAGAGCTCATGACCAATGTACAGTTTGCTTTTGATGAAGGAGACTTTGGTAAGTATTATATATGAGAGTACACAAGTCAAAAATTTATGCAACTGTTAATTTATCTAATTTTTTTATTGCTCATTCAAAATACCTGATTTATACTGAAAGTTAATTGGAATTAATGATCAACGTATAGATAACCACTATATTATAAAAAATTTCAGAAATTATATTGTTATTTTGTATAATACACATATACAAACATATGTATATACATATACATATATTTATTTCTTTATTTATGATATGCCATAACAAGAAAGAAAAAAGAAAAATGCGCAATGATACTTTAACGATGATGACTAAATGCTTGTTTGTTTTTCTTCCCAAGGAATGGGACTGGAGTTCGGTCACAATATGTTTACCTTTGGAGGAGAAGTATTCCACAAAGCCATCAGTCATATCTTAGGGGTTGCTTACGAATTGCTTGGAAGAGATGCCTTTGTTGACATTTTACAGGTAGTTATTTAAATTTCTTAGAAGTTATAGGTACATATTTTTACCTTTTTCTTTGAGTATTTGCTTCGTTTATTTGTGTGAGTTAGTGTGACAAGTGTAGATGTAGATGAGTGCTTGCTCATGGGTATCTGTGTGTATATGTGTTTGCAGTTGACTCTATAAATATAATTTTACTCTAATCAACATCATGATTAAGCACTAAGGTTATTTGCAACATCACATTTTAGGTGTTAAACTTCAAGTCTTACATTATCAAAATTATGATATACCATTTCATTTTCTTTATAAAAAATAAAATTGCTTGTGTATTTTCAGGCACATTTGAAGAACAGACGTCGAGGGAGTAACCTAAGCATACTAGAAGTTGTAGAGTGAAATATATATATATATATATATATATATATATATATATATATATATATATATATATATATATATATATATATATAGAATATTTATGCATGCATTTATCACTCTTTCACTTAATTTTTTTACCAATAGATTGGCTGATTTTCTTTTGGTTTGATTCTTTTAATTTAATTAAGAGTGAAAAATAGTTAGATGATTATGTAATACTCACCTATGGTAAACATAATTATAGATTTTGTAATAAAACTTTAGTGACGAATGTGTAAATATTAATTAGCAACCTTTTTATCTTTCTAAGAAATGGATTAGAACTTGAATTGTATGCAGCAATTGAACAAAGAGGATTTCTGTTTTTGCAAACAACCATGTTTTCATTGACTGGAGCAGAATAGATGCATTTATGGAAGTAT